TATTCAACAACATTATTTCATTCGTCTTCAGGATTCATCCATTGTTCATATAATAATGTTATAGGTGTTCTAAGATTTCGACCATATACTAATTCTGCAGCTGTAAATCCTGTACTCTCGTGCGTTATTGTTCTTAAAGCAAATAGATCTGCGGGAACTTGCTTCTCCCACTCAGGGGCTGCTTCGATACATAAAACTTTTAAAATTCGTTTGATTGTTCGGTGAAATCTTTCAGCAGGGTTGCTCTGTGGATGGTGTACTGAGCTTCTAGTTACTTTTATTCCAAATTTTTCTACAAATTCAATGGCTAGATTGCTCATAAAGGAGGTACCTTGATCAGTTTGTATTTCTTTCGGGAAACCCATTCTACTAAATATTTGTAACATGGCTTCAATTACTAACGTTGTGCCAATATTAGGAACAGATACAGCATCCGGATATTTTGAAGCTAAACAAATAGCTGTGATTAATCTATTGCCATTCGGTGTTATTGGTAAAGGACCGCATGCGTCAAAGTTAATTTTTGAAAATACTTCTGCAATAATTGGTACTAAAGTCAAAGGTGCTTTGGCTTTATCATTAGATTTTCCCACTATTTGACATGGATCGCAAGTTTTAACACACTCTTCTATTTCTTTATAGCAATTAGGCCAGTAAAAGTATCTTGTTAATCTATCTTTAGTTTTGACGACGCCTAAATGTCCAGATGTACTATAATGACATAATGATTTTATTTGATCCCTATATTTTTCAGGATTAACGATTAATTCCCTTTCATTTCCATTTTTATCTATTTTCCTTTTCACCAACAATCCGTTTTCTTTTACTTTAAAATCATTTGTCTTGCTGGAATTTTCAAGCTTCGTTAAGCAATGACGCTAGATCTCTGCTTTGATGCTGAGATTCAATTAATTCCTTTGAATTAACATTAATCACTTTCTTAAGTTCCTTGTCTTCCTCATCAGCTTGAGGTAAAATATCTTCGTCAGTTTCAATAAACTTCAGTTCTTCTAGTTTCTCCATTTCAGTTTCTCTGCTTCGATCATCTTCATGAGATCTTTTTACTTGAGGTCGTGTCAAAACCGAATTTATGTTTTCTAAATTTAAGAATGATTTATTTTTGAACAATTGTGCAGTTTTGTTACCCAGTGCATATCTTCCGGAATCATTTGTAACAACAGCTGCCTTTGTCTTTATATGACCAAGTTCGCAATTAATTTCAACTTCCGCTAACGGTAGACACACTAAACGGTCATTTTAAAGATATTGTACCCAGGCATGTTCTCCAGTCATTTTTATGTTATTAATGCATTTTCGAGAAATAACATCAACAGTGGCTCCTGTGTCTCGAAGAATAGGCATTTCATACCCATTCACTAAACCGTTAATTGTATACGTCTCTAACAAATCATCATTCAAAGATACGCAATTTATCTTTTTCATTTGGTTTTAAGCGGGGACACTGAGGCTTAAAATGTTCATATGATCCACACTCGAAACAACGTGGTCGATATCTTTTGTCATATAAATTTTCTTGGTTTTTGTTTTGGAACCTGATTCCTTTGCTGATGATCTTTCTTGTATTTTCGAATCATGCCATCTATCAGAATGCTTAAAATGAGGCGGATGCTCTATTTTTTTCACAAAATTATCATAACGCGGTTTAAATGATCCTTTGTTAATTTTCTCAGTCTGATTGGCAGAAAATTTCGGTTTTATTGTTTTTCTCACATCTTTAAAATCTTCAATTTTTTTAACCATTTCAGTAGGTGAAATGATGGTTGTCCATTGATCCATAAAATGTTCTTTGAAATCGGGAGAGGTACGCTTTTTTATTTGATCAACCAGCATGATATCTTTTAGTTGTTCAAAAGTTTTAATGTTTAATCCGTTAAGCCATCCTTCTAAATAATTCTTTAATTCAGAGTAGAAATCATACCAAGTACTTTCAGTAGATTTTTGGTGTTTATTAAATAGTTGTCGAAATTTTTCCGCACTTAATTTAAATCGTTGTAACAGTAAAGTTTTTACATATTCATACTTTTTCGCGTCCTCTTCTGGTTCTCTAGCAATAAGCTGAACAATGTCGGGAGGCAGCAATGAAATAAGTTGAGTCACTTGATTTTCAGCATGTATATTCATTATTTTAGCTTGACGCTCAAATAACACCAGAAATAAACTTATTTCATCTTCTTTAGGGTTGAAACGTGGCATGACATCGTGAATTCTGATTTTTAAAGGCTGCTCAAGTAACTGCGTAGTTTCTACCGGCTGTGCTGTGGCAGTCATTGCTTCCAGCTGAAGTTTCTGTAGCTCAAAGGCTCTAATTTGCTCTTCTCTTTCAAGCTCTTCTTTTCTTTCTTCTCTTTCGCGTTCTTCTCTTCTTTCTCTTTCGCATTCCTTTTCTCTTTCTTCCCTTTTGTGTTCTTCTCTTCTTTCTCTTCCGCGTTCTTTTTCTCTTTCTTCTCTTTTGCATTCTTTTTTTTTCTTTTTTCTCTTTCTTTCTTCTCTTTTCTTTCCTTTTCTCTAATTGCAGCCAGTATTTCTCGAGTAAATTCCTCATCATAATCGGGACTTTCAGTAATCAGTTTATGCAATTGAGCAATCTTAAATTCACGGTTAAACCTAACTCTTCTGCTAGTACTTTTAAATCCTGTTTCTTACTCCTACCTAAGAATGACATGTTGACACAAGTTACCTTTAATAGGCTTCGTTTTGAAATACAATCTAAAAGCTCGTACTTTTATTAAAAATATATAATTTTTGGAGAGACTTAATTTCTCAAATACGAAATTCACACCAACCAATAGGAGAGATTTATTTAAACAACTTTGCCAGGTTGGCACAAAATACTATAATACTACGTCGGGTTGACTTTTTAACTCACTATTCACAAGCCTCGTTAGCTATAACTATATAAACACCTTTGCCAGTTTGGCAATTACCCACATCAGTTTGACAATTTTACTATCTATCTCCACGGCTCGTTGGTGATAACAAAAACAATTTTTGCCAGTTTGGCAATTCAACTTTTAGAATATTCAATCTGTAATACGTCGGGAAGACGTTACTATCTACCACACGCCTTGATGGCGAGAACTAAGAAAAAAACCTTTTGCCAATTCTGCAGTGTAATCAAATCACACTACGTCAGTTTGACATTGCTACTTATTTTCCACGCGCCTGCTTGGCAACAAATTCAAAATTCAGCTAGCAGCTCTCTTTATATATATATATATATATATATAAACGTAGGGATGGCTTACACATATCAATTATCAACATAAAAATTCAATACAAATAAAAGTAAAGCATAAATAATAATTTTAAAATACTTCTTTACCACAAATATCAATTATAAATTTAAGCTGAATATTTTTAGTGTCAGTTATTTTAAACAAAATATTACACATTAAACTATAATTCTGAAACAAAGTATTAAAATTCAATAAAAGCTTTTTTAAGAAAACCAAAAGTTAATCTTATCTTCAGAGATCAGCAGTATCCTGTTTTGACAGACTTTTGCTCGGACGCAAGTTATAGAAGCACTGAAGATAACCTTTGAATGATCCGCTTCAAATCTGGCTTTAAAACGGCAGACTTCTTACATCCATTTCTCCTTGAAATAAACAAACTTGGTAATTGGTATTAGCAAACTTGTTCTAAAAAATTCAGTAAATTTCTGGGATTAGGAGACCAGCACCATCGAAATTGATAATTGCACTTCTAATTTCCAGGATCTCGGTGGAACCTTCAATTAATTAAGACTGTAATGTATTTTGCAGTAATTTACAAACCAGACAATCTTCTTAGTAGAACATAAATTTTATTTATAGTCTCGGTGATAGACAAATCTTATACAATTCTTAAGTGGCAAAATTTTCATACTACTCCTAGCTGTTAAAATCTTCAGAATCTCATCTTTTTTTAAAACAATATCTCACACTGCTGAGTAACGGTTTAATACAAATATGGCGTTGCCACTTCAACAATAATTATATTTATTTATTAAATAACAAGATATTACACTGGTTTAGAAATTGCTGGCAAAAGGCACATGAAAATAGTTCTCAGTCAGCTTAAATAGTTCCTAGCTTTTTATCTTAATATCAATAAAACATTGAATATATTAATTGTTTTTTGTTTCCTTAAATTAAATACCGTTATAGTTTTGGGCATGTTTTCCATATTGGCAAAAAGAATGTCAACATGAAGAGAAAATGTCAGTGGTACAAAAATTAGAATATAGTATACTTTTTCTCTAAGAAGGTTTTCTCCTGACATTATGCACAGGTTTCTTCGGGGAAAATGCAGAAATGCCAACTACTTGGCACGTTTTTAAGAATTGCACATTCCATATACACATTTACCTATTTTCACTTTAAAAAACATCAGAAAATTATACCAATTCGGCATTGTGCACTCCCTTGACTTTTTGTACATGTACACATTGATGTATTTTCACTTAAAAAGTCAAAGGAAATTGACAAAAATCCAATTATTCGTACTCTTGTAAAAAAGTGGCAAATAAGTGGGCAATTCTGCACTTCACCTGTTTCTTCTTTACTATTTTATTTCTTCATAATTTACATATAGAAAAATCCACAATATCTATGAAACCAGCCAGTTCCCTGGGTTTCTAACCTAGGTTAAAGTAAAAATGCCTGTTAATCTTAATAATTGAGCCACTGATTAATGTGATAACTGTGTGTACCACTGCCATACGTAGTACATATAACTCAATATATAACATCTGCATAACTGAAATTATTTCCTGTAGTTTCTATTGAAACTAATATGTATGTATTCCCATAATTTTTATTACGTGGAAACATTTATTTCAATTTAAGTTATTTTATCAAATTTGAAATGGAGAAAACCATCAAGTAATTTGAAGCACTGAGAGAAAACTCGCTGTATTTTTTTCCTTTCATTTGAATAAATTCAATTAGTTGTTTGTAAAAAATATATGTAATTTTATTTCTTTTTATTTTTTAAAGATGTAATTTCTGTGAATGCAGCAACCCATGATTCCATCATGAAGACTCGACAACTACATTATATACACCTGAAGCATTCTCTAGAAATTATGCATAAAATAAATGAAGATACTCCTATGTCTGTAGTTCATACTCTGATGTTTTTGATGACGAAAGATATACTTCTGTTTAATGAAAAAGAACAGGTGAACAGTTATAACATTATTAAGAAATGTACTGTCTGTGTAAAGCAAGCAGTTAATTCCTAATCTCTTGTAACTCAGTAATAAAGAGAGTCTCTGGTAACTCAGCAGTTAGTACCATCAAAGATATTTTAATGTTAAAATGTAACATTAAGACATCTTTAATGTCCATTCATAAAGATTTAACCAGGCATTCTGTAAACATTCATGAAAAAATCAAAATTTTGCTCCCAAAACACATTCTTTGCTTAAGAATAAAATGGCTTTATTTTCATGTCAGCAAAATTGTAAGAATTTCTGTAGAAATATAGTCCTTAGCTTCTTTCAGTGGCTGTATTTCACATATGGCCATAGACTGCTGTTTGTGTTTTGTACCACACATGACACACTGTGGTTACGGGAGTATGTCTGCTGCATAACTTGATTTTTTTTTTTTTTTTGGGCCTTCAAAATCTTAGTGTGTAATATTTTAATTGATTAAATGATTAATTTAATAAATGAAAGTTAAAATTTTATCATGTAAATATTATGCATGATTTATAAATTTATAATGTGCTAGAATTATATTTAAATTTATACATTTGTTAAAAGTTGCTCAAAACTTGTACTTTATTTGGCAAAAGGCACAAAAAAGAAAAAAAAATGGGGAACAGTTCTATATGTCTCCTTCTACTGGGCGGATTGACGAAATTTAAATTGCATTTTTCATATCTCCAAAACACGACTTAGGATATGTATTAAATTTATTATTATGTACAGCATTATTCTAATGCAGTCAAAAGTCTTTAATCCAGACGTCCATAATCCGGAATGATCTCTAATCCGGACCTCAAAGCTACTATCTTTCTGCGCATGCGTAAACGTATAATGCGTCTATGCACGCGAATAATACGTTTACGCATGCACGTTTAATGTATAACAGACAGTATAAGCTGAGCTAAAATTATCTCATTATCTATTTCAGTTAATGTTGCAGATTGCGTTGTTCCTTAATCTTCTAATCGGACCTGGCTTATTATTTTTTGCAGACTGTTAGAGCAATTTTATAAAAGTAAGTTTGAACTTTCTATTATTTCAAAAAGAATTTCCGATTCTGCAGCTGCCAAAGCATCTACAAAAGCGAAAGCATGTTTCGATGTCCATCAAACAAAAAGTGGAATTGCTGAAAAAAATCGATAAAGGCATATCTTTTGTTTCTCTAACCATTCCGAAATGTGTTTACCAATGTCACGCTGCTCTGCGGGGTGGGGGGCGTCGCGGCGCGCAATGAACTGGAAGTTGATCTGTCAGCACCAGGGATAAATAGAAGGGCTAGGTCATTCCTTTGTTCGACTCCTCGCCGACGCGAGTCTCATAGAGGGGGGGGGGGAACCGGGAGTAATCTGACGTATCTCTGTTGCACCTGCTCTGATTTCGCGCCTTTAAAACTGTAGTTTCATTCAGTTGCGAGACGATTTTTTGGAGATCGCATATCCCAAATTCATTTTAATCATACATATTTGTTTTCTAATAATAATGCAAATATTTAAAATAATTTGTGTATATATAGTTTTAGTCAGTTTTCCTTTTAAATTCTATATTTAAAGTATCCTTTATGTAATATGGCTTCTTGTGCTGTAGCAACGTCCCGTAACACTTATAGAAATACGAAAGGAAGAGATATTGTATTTCATGCTTTCCCCAAGGACAATTTGCTTTTGACGAAAGAATGGATACATAAATGTCGAAGACAGGATTCTATTAATGTGAAAAAAGCAAGAATTTGCAGCGAACATTTTCTGTGCAGTGATTATGAAGATACATGAGAAATCGCTTGCTTGGATTGCCGCAAAAGAAAACTGTTGAAATGCAATGCTGTGCCGAAAGTAAATTTATCATGTGCAGTAAACAAAAATAACACCAAGAAATCGGAGACATTTGAAAAAATAATGCAGAGTGCTTTTGAAAGACTACAGGAATTAAGCCCAAGGAAAATTTATTTGAGGCGAGAACGAAATTGAAGTGACAATAATAAATCAAATGTGAATGATTTTGAAATAAAACTCACAAGTGACAATGCCCTATGTGACAATATCCCCGAGTGCCTAAGTGTAAAGATAAACAAGAATGGTATTGATAATTTGAAGAACAAAATAATATCCTTAGAAAATTGTAATAAAATATTGACAAATAGAGAAAAGAAAGATTTTAGAATGTTTGCTCAGCGACAAAGAAGGTGGACGACATTTAGAAAGAAATTTGTATCGGAATTCAGAAATTAAAATCCCAAACAGTGAAATTTAGGAAAAACAGAACAGATCGGAGAATTTGGAAAAACGTCTAAAGCATATTTTTATAAAGACGCAGATTAACGCATTGCTAGAAAAGAAGGAAAAAAATCCGGTGGACTAGTGAAGATATTTCACGTTGCATTTCATAAGAGCTCTGTCATCTAAAAGCTACGATTTTTGGAAGAAAAAATGGGAATTCCTTTACCTAGCACTAGCACATTTATATGCGGATATTAGGACTGCACTAAATTTCATGTAGTCCAGGAATTCAGAGTGATGTTTTGCTGTAATGAAGGAAGATGCCAATATTTGAATTCTGTAGAAAAAAATATGCGTTCTCAGTTTCGACGAAATGCATAGATTCTAAAACTCTGCTTGACTCTAAACTGGACCAAAATCGGTCCTTTCAAAAAGTGCAGTTTGTTTTAATAAGAGGTCTCATTTCGCAGTGGAAACAACCAATATTTTTTGATTTAACACTCCAATGAAGAAAAAACTTCTTTTTTCACTCATAAGACATATTCAATCATCTAGAGTAGAAATGAAAGCAATAGTGTCTGATTTAGGAGGATCTACTACTTTGTGGAAAGAGTTACAGATTTCGATTAATAGTTTCATTTTCCAAATCCAGTATTCCAAACGAAAAAATATGGGTTTTTGCAGATTTAGCGCACTGCCTCAAATTATGAGTGTTGGTGTATTTAATTATGACAAAGCACACTAGGGCTATCTGCCTAAGGGAAGGGATGCCTTCGTGGAGGACTTTCTAAGGGAAACTGGCTCGTATACACGTTACACATGGGGAAAACCACGAAAACGCCCATGCAAACAGCCCGTTCGCGGGATTCGAACCTCGGACCGAACTACCAGTGTTCAGCGACTTTACCGCTCGGCCTCTGGTGGGCTCAAATTACTGAGAAACCACTTTTTAGATAAAGGATTTGTTTTAGAAGATGGAACTGTTTTAAAGTTGATATATTAAAGAGAATTAAATTGTGTCACAACTAAAACCAAATTATTTAATGGTCAAGGGAAACGAGAGACAAAAAGTAAGTATATATAATATGTTTTGATTTGAAATATTTCTAGATTGCATTTTAGAAGTTAATAGCGTAAAGCATATTTCAAATGAGAACTAATTCTGTTAAGATATTGTTACAGTTATTTTATGTATCCTCTGTTATTATTGATCGATTTTGTGCTAGCTTAGCATTCTAGATAAAATATATATAAAGTTAATATTAAAGTAATTGGCATAAGAAGACCTGCCCCCTTAACCCTCACTTTTGAAAAATTAAATAATTATTTTAGGTACTGTGAATAAAGTGTTTTTTGTCTAAATTAAGATAACAATCTTACATGTATTATTTAAATGAAATATTGATGTAAGCCTAAGTTACAAATTATTTTTTAAAAAATATATGTTATTATAATGAATCCGGAGAAAAAATATGCTAATGTAAAATTTACATTAGGCTGAAACTCAAACTTAGATTAGCAGAAATTTTGCCATATAACCATACACTATATATGCCATATATAACCATATACTACATTTTAAAACTATGCCAATTTAAGGTTATTATTTTGATTAATTTTAAATAGCTGTTATTATAGTTATCTTAGCAGTAGTACAGTTCTCTAGTTAACATGCAGATAAAGAAATGATTAGAAAAAAAACAAGCATTTAAGAAAAAAAAAATCCTGCAAATAAAAAGGAACTTATGCTAAGAGTAGCGCATTTTATCTATTATTTTAAAATTGAGTAAGTACTATTAAATTTTGGTATGTTCAGTGTAAAATGCATACTGCAGTAACATTGTCTCTTCCAAATTATAGCTACCTTTCACACACAGCTCATTTTAAACGCTGATTCTTCAAATTTAAAACGCTAATTTCTATGTTGTCAATTGCATCTCCGCGCTCAGTGCCATCATTGCTACGTCATCACTCCTCACTGCCAGTTTCAGGGGGAAACGCTCTATGAGCTAGCCCTTCTCTTTAGTCCTGTGTCAGCACTATCCTTATTTTCAGGGCAGATGTTTTTATTTTATTCGTCTTATAATTCCTTACTAAATGTAGTATTTCATCTCGATGTACTCCGTCTTTTATATGATTTAAATCAAATTCCTCGTCATTATAAATATCACGAATACACATCAAATCGTTTTCTGGTTGCAACTTTATTAGAAACTCAATACAGTCAAAAGTCTTTAATCCGGATCGTCGGGACTTCGGCGATTCCGGATTATCGATTTTTCGGATTATAGATCATCAGTTTAAATCTGGTAGATGGCATGCAGAAATTATAAAATTAAAATATGAAACCGTAATTATAAAAATGAGCAATTATTGATCTAAAGGGTATCAAAATTTACCAGAAAAGAAGCCTAATATTATTTGTTTACTTTATTAAACATTTCTTTCAACGCGCGGATGCGTAAAGCTACCTCACGCATAGCCAAAATTAGAAAATTGCAACCAGAAAACTATTTGATTTGTATTCGTGATATTATAATGACGAGGAATTTTATTTAAATCATATCAAGACGGAGTACATCGAAATTAAATACTACATTAGTAAAGAATTATAAGCCGAATAAATACTAATATAATAAAAAAAAACATCTGCCCTGAGATAACGATAGTGTTGACAAATCAACTTCCAGTTCATTGCGCGCCGCGACGTCCCCCCCCCCCCCGCGCAGAGCAGCGTGAAATTTATAAACAGATTTCGGAACGGTTAGATAAACAAAGAATATGCCTTTTCCATTTTTGTAGCAATTCGTTTTTGTTTGATGGACATCGAAACA